TTATAAGTCCCCTACACACTCTTCAGCCTATGGCTTTCACCTTCTTTGTCGTACACAAAAGATCACAATAACCGTAACGATAATACCCATGACAATCTCATCTCGAAGCTCAGGGAGCGCAGCATTGCCAATCATAAAGAGACAATCCTTAGGCAAGGCAGGGACAAACAGTGGGATGTGGAGTGGGGGTCCCTGAAAGTGTGAGAAAGTAAATACTGCAAGTGAGACACTCCACGGATGAATGATTGGACAGATGAGGCTTTAGATGGAATTTGTATTAGCTCCATCCTTGTTCGCTTCCTGCAGCTGTGTCTATGTCCGAGCATCCCCACTGTTCTCACTCAGATGTACCTTTATACTAAATATGACTGTGTTGCTGCAAACAGGCTGCTGCCAATTCTCTAACAAACTGCAGGGGTAGCAAGCAGCAGAAATAAGGAGAAAGAAAAAAAAAATATCTAACAGGCAAAGTAAGCAAGTCAACAGAAAAGGATGATGGAACAGTAGTTAAACCCTCTGCAGGAATGACCACATCCAGTATTTAGTGTTGCACTGAATGAATAAAAAGATAATTAGTGCAAAATACTGTAGATCTGGATATTGAGTAAAATAGCAGATATTACTTATGCAAGGTGATCTTGTAGAATTTTTCTTTTTAAGTTCAGTGAAGATAAGCAACACTTACCATCCCTGAACATATGAAGAATCCTTATTTTCTCATTTTTGCTGCTGTGGCACTTAAACTATTTCCAAGGTGCACCTGGTGCTGGTTCAGCAAATTTGGAGGTTTGCATTTATTTGTATGTATGTTTGTGTAGTTGTACTCGCAGCTGAGTCAAAACATATTTTTCACATTTTACTGTAGAGTGAGAACTTGAAAAGCGAGGACAAGAAAAGGCTAGGCTAGGTAAGGTATTCACCTGTACTGGTTCCGTTTAGGGTCGCGGTTAAGACATAGGTCCTTAGTAAGTATTTAAAACACTGGGGTATGTGGGGGTATCTTTCTGGATACCCCCACATACCATGTCATCTATTTCAGAAACAGAAAGTTATCTTTCCTAACAGAACAATCAATTTCTGTTTGGACATTTATGTGCGTTTAAACATAATTTCTTACATTATAACAGCAGTTCTGATCCCTTAAGCAATATTTTTTTTATTTATTTTAATAGAATGAACTCCAGGGGAAATTTTCCAAACATTTCCTTCAATGATGAGTGAAAATAGATTAAGGCTGAAATTTTGCAGGAGATTTTCATTTTATAAATCATCCATTCATTTTGGCTCAGATGTTCCAATCTGTAGCTTAAGAGCAAGCAGTTTTAAGACAGTGATTTCCGTTGTCTGGAAGGTCTCTTTCATATCTGCCTCTAACACATAAACACACAGTAAACATGCATAAACACAAAGTGATCCTTTCACATTAATATTTGCTTCAAAACTAGCCCGATTGTAAATGGAAATCAGCGTCTTGTATATCTAGGACTACATGTACATGCATGCACACATGGGTGCATCCTTTTGAATACTGCAGTGCACTAGTGAGGAGTGATGTCATCCTGTCTGCTGCAGCACCAGCAAAGGAAGCTCAGCAGGGAGAATAACAACGTAAAGAACAGAGGGTGGAGAAGGGATTCTCTTTTTCTTTTTTCACAAGGAAAAAAAGAAGCCGTGGAAGGATTTGATATGATAAATTAAACTATGAGATTAATTTCAATTGATAATTTAGGCTTCATTATGAGAAGCTGTGCACCAGTCTAAGCCTGAGGACAGCTGCACGCTACACGCCATTGTATTTTGATGCTGCCTGTGTTAACAAAAAACACAGATACAGAGGCTATTGTCTGCTCCTTGTGCACTAAACAGTGTGATAAATGTGCTTGCCAGGTTCTGCTCTGTCCAGAAGGCTCAAGCTCATCTGCTTTCTGTGGGAGATTTGAAAAGGGAGGAGACATCATTCATTTAAATACAGTTCAGCTAAATGCACCTGAGGAGTTGCCTTATAACACATTCCTCTCCACTCTTCATATTTTGTGTGTAAGCTGCACCTGTTTATGCGTGATCCCAGGGACGGGTGTGGTTATCCTGAATCTTTATCTTGCAGCGTCACACACTCCCGTCTTGACGTCAGCCGGTAATCATACAAGTACATGAAAACTGAGAAGTGCGCAATAGGAAAGCCTCACTCTGAAGGGAAATTCCTCCTGCAGGGGTTTCAGTATGAGTTGCTGCTGCTTTTAAAATATCTGAAGACTGAACAGGGCTCAGGTTAAGGCCAACATGGGGTTAGGGATGCTGTAATTTTTTCAGAAGAACATTCATACTGTGCTAATTAATTGCCTCTACTGTCTCCTGTCTTCACATTAAAAAAGATGTTTTACACATTGTCATGACAGAAAAATGAATATGCTTGATTTGGGTTATTTGTGTGAGGTTTTCTTTGGTAGTTTTACCAGCTCCTATCCAAAAATTACATTACATTAAGAAAAAGGGTGAAAAAATTGAGATGAAAATCATTAATCAGTCAAAGGTGATAAAATACAAGGGTCAGTTACTAATGATGTCAAGTTATGATGGAATTACTTATTTATACACACGAAATTAAAATGAGCAGCAAGATGTTAATATCTCATAGGTGTGAATCTCTTGCACATCTTCATGTTATTTAGACCCTTTTCTGTTTCCCATTTCACACTAGCTTAGATTTGTTGTACTATTCGTCGACATTCATCGACTATTCGAGGACAGGAACATCTGGCAAAGGACCAATTGAAGTGATCCCCTTCCTCCCTCTTACTTTATTTCCCCCTCTAGCTGGAACATAGCCTCCGACTTCCTTTTTGTGAAGAGGAATGACCACCCTCGTCTGTAGGTCCAGGGGAAACCATGATTTTTTTAAACACCTCATTGACTTTGCCTAGATGATGAGGAAGTCTGACCTCGAGCATCTACTCTCAAGCATTACTCCATTGTCTAACAATGTCCTGAGTCACGGTCAGCACCATGCCACTCTGACTGTAAACAGTGTGGCCAAAGTACTGCTTCCCCCTCCAGAGGCACCAGATAGTTTGCCAGAATCACTTAATGGCTGACTGATGGTTTGTTTTCAAGGCCTCTCCGAACTCCTCCCAAGCCCAAGTTGTTGCCTTTTCAGTCACCAGGGTAGTGCCCCACCTGCCCCCCATAAACCAACCAGTCTTGATAGGAATCCATCTTAAGCTTGAAGACATCACTTACTGTCTATGTCCTTTGCTGGATTTGGAAGTTGCTTCCTTGACAGCACTGGTGGCTCTGGAAGTCAGAGTCCAGACTGTAAATGCAGGTGAGCCCCAGCATTTCTTGCCAGTATCGCTCCATCAACAACATATACACTTTCCCAGCCAGGGAGGTCCCATTCCATCTCCCCAAAGGCAGTTTAAGTGTCTGTGGATCAGGTCACCTCTGCCTCTGACTGCCACTCTGTCCTCTTTGCATTAGTCCCTCTGCAGGTGGTGGGCCGACTGTCTTTTTAGTTTGGGCTTAGACTGACCAGTTCCCACAAGGACAAAACCAACCACCAGGCACTCGCTAATGAACCTTGGCCTGGCTCTACCATTGTAAGGTGGCAGTTTAAGGAGGGGCAAAGTTGTGGTATTTTTGTTTAAGGTATTAAACCATGATCATTTCCAGCCAATGCCCAACGGTGAATGTAATTAACACAACTCAAATTTCACTTGGACCCTTTTTCTATTTTATTGTGACTTTCCTTATTCTTTCTTTCATTGGTGTGTCAAAATGATTCCAAGGTGCTTCAAAATTATTTTTAGAGTAAGAAAATGTATATCCTAATAGAAATTACCCTTCTAAAAGAGAGTTTGTCACTATTTTACTAAGTTAACACTTGGCCACTGTAAATTTTAGCATGACAGACATGTCAGATCATGTCAGATTTTGTTTTGCAGCAAGAACTAGCAACTTTTAAAATTGTTTACTTTTCTTGCCAACAAAGTTTCTAAATTTTAACATGATCTCTTTCTTTGCACAGTTTTGTGTGGCTGAAGTCCTGCTGAGGGAGGGCTGTGTCATTTGTTGCTATGCCTCTACTTCAGGCATGCGGATCCTTTCTGAGTTTTTTTCAGCAAAGCTCCCTCTCTTTCTCCCCTTCTCTCAAAGAAAGCCAAAATCCCAGTCACAACAGTAGTTATGGAGTTTAAAGTGTTGTTAAAGTGTTTTGCAACCTTTTTTAGAGCTTGCAGTCTTACTGAATACATTATTTGAATATGTAAACTTGCAACACCAGTATCTTACTGATGGGTATTTTGAGATAACAGGTCAAATGGGGTGATGCAGGGTGGGTGGGTGTACAGTAAGCATGGCTATAGTATGAATGAACAAAAAAAGTTTCAGATTTCAATGGAGTTCCTCCTTGTGGTTTTGCCTGCTAACTTCACAATCCGGGTTCTCCTTTCTTCTCTCTTCCCTCGCTGCTCTCCACATGGTGCATGAGTAATCCCGTTCCAGCAAAACTCCTGCTTGTCTGGGAGAGTAATGAAGCTCTCAGACAGGCAGATAAAACACAGACAAAAACGCCAGACACGCCGTGTCCTGGCCCCTGAGCCAAGGCCCACTGATCTTCATACTCTGATCCATTGCCATTCCTCTAAAATATTATACCGGTAGCTTTTTCTGTGACATTTCCTTCTTATGTGAACAGCATATATAATTTGGGAGTATTTCAAGTTCTTTTCTGCTGCTAACTGCCTGCTACACATTCAAACTTTAAGTCCCAGAAGAAAGCTAATTTTCTACCTGGGGTGAAAATTGCAAAAGGGAGGTGTGAATTGAGAGGGAAAGTTTTGGACAAGTGATGATCCCTGATGTTTTAATGTCATATCATTTTAAAAATAATGAAATGTCACTCTTTTTTTCCTATTTCCCTTTCTTTTCCTTTACATGTCTCTCGCTTTTTCTACAACCCTTCATTCCCTCCTGTTTTCCGCTATCCTTTCATGACTCCATAGGCTGATGCTGGCAACAGTTTTCTCCGAGCAGCCCGATCTGGCAACCTGGACAAGGCCTTGGATCATATAAAAAATGGCATTGATATCAATACAGCTAATCAGGTAAGAAAGATAACTAACATTTTATACATTAATTTGGATCACTGACAAAGTCATCTCATCATCTGGTACATTTATTTACATGTTATGATCATTTATTGGGGCTTTTTTTACATTCATTCATTTCCCCTTTTAACAATATTGATTTTAAAATGAGCTGCCTAAAAATAGAAATACTCTAGGGTCATTTGTACACAAGCATCCCTTGTCAGCCTTGTTTTCTTTTAACTACAGATCTTATCTCAAGCAGATTAGACTAGGCTTGATCTATATTCTTTATTTCTTTCAATAAAAGGATTTTTAAAATGTGTTTAACAAGAGCGCATTTTAACTAACAAAGAGAAATGCTTTTCTCAACCAGAACCTTCTGCAGAATATTTTAAATCCCCCAGGTTTTTTTCTTTTTCTTTTTTGTCTGCTCACATTGAGAGGGTTGTTCACCTATATCTTACCACTCAGTTTGAGAGAGAAATAATTATTTCAGGACTACACTTAACAGTATAACTCGTGTTAAACCACTTTAAATTGAAAGGTAAAATAAATTTAAAAAAAGGTTTCCAACAAACTGCCATGTTTTTATGTGTAGAGAATTTTAGTGGGGAAAACATGTATTAGAGCTTGTTTTTCTTCAATCATTGCTTTTGTGTTCTTCAAAGTATTTATATTATAAAACAGGAATAATGTCACTTTTTTGATAGAGGAATTTTGTTATGATACAAAAATTCATAATTATTAAAAGGCTATAAGTGTATTAAATAAGCCTAAAGCTTTGATTAGCTGATTGTTTTAGCTGTCAAAATCATTTAATCTGTTTAACAAGGTATAATATTAAACATTATCTTCACAAACAAAAATAGTTTTGTTTTATTTTAACATCTAAAGTTAACAGAATTATTGACTGTAGAAGAGTTGAAAGTTTGAGGCGAATGAATCAAATCATTACAGATATGCAGCACCTTCCCACCCCTAATCTCTTAAACCTCCTTAAAGTTTATGTAAAAAGCGCTTTCATCCAACAAGGGAAAATTTTGTGTTTTAGATTTTTGTTCTGCAACTCAGATTTGATGGATGCAGTGGAAATGATGGTGGTAAAGGGATGGCCCCAGGAAACTACCCTGGTTACTGTTTGATGCGGCGTGAAAACTGGGGTGTTAAAAAAATGTCTGTATCTGATCTAAGTATTTATGAGTCCAAGTCACAAAAAATAAGTTATAAAACAGGCATACCAGGTCGTTTCCATCATAATCTACACCATTATTTTCTATTGTTGTGTGTATTTGTCTTGTCCACCTTGCATGGGCTAAGCACTGTCCCTGCTATCTCAACATAAGCATGCTCTGTTCAGCTGTTAAACAGCACTTTGAAGTGGCATGTGGAGGTAACTTTGAGTTTATAAATGTTGCAAAGGATTCCCTTTGCTTCATCTTCTCCATTCTGCATCCTTAGCTCTGACAGCTGTCAGAGTGAATCTGAGTGCTCAGGAATATCAGCATTACTGAAGCCCCCAGGCTGTAAATTCCTGCAAAACTTAATGAGAGAGTCCTTTCACTCATTAATATGAGTCAGCAGTATTGTTTTGCTGTCTTTAACCATTGGTCCAAGCAGGACATTAAATCCAAATCAGAAAGTGACACAGTTCAGCAAATGTTGATGAAACCTAAATACTTCATGCATTGACAACAAAATTGGTATAAGACAAACAAAGGACAAGATTTTTCATTTGTTTTTGAAGTAATAATTTTAATGCTTTATTGCAGCTATCCGGTTTTTGTTTTGCTTGGTATAAAATGTAATTGAATTAAAGTAAAAGTAAGCAATGTTCTCAAAGCTTTGCATTTAAACTTTTTATTTAATTGATCAAAAACGATGTAAAAAAAAATCATAAGAGCAATTATGGACAATATGTCCTTATTTTCATTTAAAATAAATCCTTACAGTATTTTTGTTTTTACATTGATGCAGTGTTAAAATATTTATTTGTTTTAAAAGTTGTCCTTTTGCCTGCATTGCAAAGTTAGTTTATACTTAGGGGGTTTGTACAGGTGAGGTTGTTTCCTGGTCTGAGTGGACACTTCCAACTCTATGACCAGCACACATCCTCACTCCATCAAGTTTTTGCATCACTCCTCCATTCTCTCTTGTTTCTCGTGCTCATCTAAGTTTGTATTTTGCCTTTTTTATCCTCTATCTTTGCTTTTTGTTCCCCCTCTCTCCTTTATATCCAGTAGAGTGATGGTGTGCTGTGGTCTCCCCACTCAGAGGAATAATATCAGTGGTGTGGGAAAGGTCCAACCTCACATGTCCTGTGCGGCTGAAGGTAGGCTGTGTGAGGTTAGACCTATCCCACACGGCTCGTATTCTTCCCAGCCATGAGACCAGTGGCCTGCCATCCCCTCCTCTCTCCCTCCTCCTTTAACTGTCACTAAGTGAATGAAAAGAAGACCTCCTGATTTTCATTCCTGTAGATGTCGTTTCCAAGATTATCTCTTTGAGTCTGGCATCTTGCATGCTGTTCAGTAACATGCTTGGTGTGTTTGGTGAGTGATTACGTCATTGTGACTTCAAACCACTCACCTGGCATGGTGCTCCTGTGTTTTGTGCTCCTAGTGTATGCGTTTTTTTTTTGTAGGACTCTCCAGTATTAGGTCTGCTCTTCTCTCTCCTTTAGAATGGCCTCAACGGGCTGCATCTGGCCTCCAAAGAAGGCCATGTCAAAATGGTGCTGGAGCTGCTTCACAATGGAATCACACTTGAGACCACCACAAAGGTAAAATGATTTCATAAAAAGAATCACATTTGGATTTTATGTTTCCTACCTTTTTAAATCGGGCCCTATGACTGGCCTATAAAACTCAGTCACTGCAAAAAAATTAAATCTACGTAGGTCTTTTCTTTCTTAAAAAAAGGTGCATTTTTTCTTGAATTGAGAAGGAAAATGAGGCACTTTGCCAATGGAACGAGACAATTTACATTTAAAATAAGGTAAAACAATTGCATCGTCTTGTTTCAACTGAATATTATCTAATTATCTTATTCTAAGAGTGAAAATACTCTTCCCATTGGCAAATCTCATTTACCTGCTCAAATTAAGGGTAAATACACTTAATTTTTCTTTTTCCAGGATAATTTTTCCACTGTAAAGCCATGCTTCCACACACTTATACTCATGGCAACTTAGAGTGCTTTAAAGTAGTTCAAAGTGTGAATGTTCTTACCTCTTTTTCTAAGCCAACTTCAAATTACAGTATCTGAATGATGGAGCGGGCGAAAGGGTCTTGAACGGCTCATGTGGATGTTTTCCCCTGCTCAGTGTGAACTCAGTTTATCCTTCCTGGGGGAGAAGACCAGGCATCTAGTTACACAGGAAGGCTTCCTGCCAAAGAGCAAAGACAAAAACAATATAAGACTCAGAGAAACAAAGGCTCAGGTTAGACTCAGCTAATCTCAGCTTGGCTAGAGTACCCAAAACTGGCAAACACTCTGGCGCCGAGGTAGTGACAGCCCACTGCTCAAGTACTCCTCCAGGAATGGTCCGACGAGCCGCAGGTGTGCAGGGATGCCCAACAAGGACACGGCACCACGTGGTGGAAAAACACACAAACAACCCACACAAACTGGATTCCTAACAAAACCTAGCGTGTCAAACGTTCAGCAATATATATATATATATATATATATATATATATATATATATATATATATATATATATATATATATATATATATATATATATATTTTTTTTTTTTTTTTTTTGTAGATCATTACAGTTTTAATGTTTAAATGTGAATTACTCTTTTGTTCCTAAACAATATCAAGTCATTGCAGATAAAGTACCAATGTGTGTACGTCACTCATAGTGAAAGAGCTAGTTGTTGCTCTGTGTGGGGATTGATTATGTTAAATATAGTGTTTTTGCTTGTGTTTAAACAGAAAGGGAACACCGCCCTGCACATTGCAGCCCTGGCAGGACAGGAGCAGGTGGTCACAGAGCTCGTAAACTATGGGGCCAATGTCAATGCTCAGTCTCAGGTGAGAGAGAAAGACTAAGAGCTGCTCTCACAGCAGACGTCACAGCTCAAACTGAGGCTGCTTAGCTCTTACTATGGGAATTTAACCATCATAGAAGCTACTGTAATTCCATCCGTTAAAATTCATCTCTGTTTGTCTGATATTTCTGTATGGTTGTGTTTCCTCTCTGTGTGCATCCTGGTGTGTGCATCTGTGACTTTGCTGTGTGTTCCTGTATATGTGTCCTTGCCTGCCATGCGTCTTTCTGAGACAGAAGGGCTTCACTCCACTATACATGGCCGCACAAGAAAACCATCTAGAGGTTGTGAAGTTTCTTCTGGAGAATGGAGCCAATCAGAGCATTCCAACAGAGGTACCTAAGAACTGCGAGTTGTATGATAAAGGTTACCTACCCGTTGCTGTTCCACACTCACCGCGTTTTTTATTCTAGTTTGTTTTCATGAGCCCCTCCTCTCGCATCGGTTGCTTTTAGACTTATTGAGTCAACCTCTCTTCTAACTTTCTTTCTTGTGCTGCAGGATGGATTCACGCCTCTTGCTGTGGCTCTTCAGCAGGGGCATGAGAATGTCGTAGCCCTACTCATTAACTATGGCACCAAGGGGAAGGTCCGGCTGCCAGCTCTGCACATTGCAGCACGAAACGATGATACACGCACAGCTGCAGTGCTTCTGCAGAATGACCCTAACCCTGATGTCCTCAGCAAGGTCTGTGGCCAATCAATCTTTTTCTATTATTTTCTATCTTGTGCCAATAAACTGCAGAAGCTGTGACACTGAGGTGTATTTTGCAGACTGGATTTACACCCCTCCACATTGCTGCACACTATGAGAACCTGAACGTGGCGCAATTGTTGCTAAATCGAGGAGCAAACGTCAACTTCACCCCAAAGGTAAAACACAACAAATGCCAGTTCATTCCACAATACCAATTCTCCTTTAATTTTTGTCAGTGTTTATATAACCTTGTCTTTATGTTTCTGCAGAATGGCATCACCCCTCTGCACATTGCTTCTAGACGAGGAAATGTGATCATGGTCCGACTCCTGCTGGACCGGGGGGCGCAGATTGATGCTAAGACCAAGGTAAGCCCAGGATCGGTCTCATTTTCATGTCATTAATTGTAAATAAACAATTAATAACTAAATCACCAACTCTCTATAATTTTACAGGATGAGTTAACTCCTTTGCATTGCGCTGCCAGAAATGGACATGTCAGAATTATTGAGATCCTGCTTGACCATGGGGCTCCAATCCAGGCAAAGACAAAGGTAAAAGAAACAATTTTTTTTACCTTTTTTTTTTTCAGATACAGATAAGAGAGAGTGAAGAACTGTTTCTGTTTTTGCAGAACGGTCTGTCTCCTATCCACATGGCAGCACAGGGGGACCACATGGACTGTGTCAAGCAGCTCCTGCAGTACAACGCAGAGATTGATGATATAACACTGGACCACCTCACCCCGCTGCATGTAGCAGCACACTGCGGGCACCACCGCATGGCCAAAGTACTGCTAGACAAAGGAGCCAAACCCAACTCCAGGGCTCTGGTTAGCAATAAATATGTTTATTCAAACCATTAGAGTAATGAGCCGTAGCAGTATCTTTTAAAAGACCAAATAGAATTTTCTGCAAATAAAAAAAACTGCTTGATGTTTATTTGTATTAGGCTTTATTTACTCTGATCCCTAAAAAAAACTGTTTAAACAGTTTGCCACAAAAAAAGCCTATTCAGTAATTAAAGTCAATATTTGTGTACTTCTTTTCTTAGAAAATGTTAAAACAGACATAAGGGAGACAATTTTACATGCCACAAACCATGCAGGCGACAGAACACACATTATAGAAAATACTCTGGCCACATTTAAACAAAAAGTTTATTTTAAAAAGTAATTCAAACATAAAATTAATCCAGCACATTATTGTGATTATGTATCTCTATTGACACAAGTATTCTGCTACAGGGGTGGTTTTTTTGTAGAGACAAGGATTTGTTGTCTGGGGAGGTTGCTGATGAAGGAAACATGTAACCCTGCAAAACACAATTCTGAATAGAAGCCTGACCTCTGAACAGGAGAACACCCATTAACATAGAGTTATGGCTAAAATAGGGTGGTTACGCACAAAGCATATTCATGTGTTATTGCTGTCTATTTCTGCAATGGAGAGGGTGCAAAAGTTTGAGTCCCTTCTTGTACAAAGCTGATGAAATGCCCCCAAAAGAAGCGGCCCCTCAGTTCTGCAAGGTGCTAGTGCAGATTCACACTTTTTGTTGGTAAAAAAATAAAAGATAACAAAAAAAATTATATATATATATATATATATATTTATATATATATATATATATATATATATATATATATATATATATATATATATATATATATATATATATATATATATATATATATATATATATATATATGCTTTTTTCCATACTTCATAATGATGCAATTATTAAAGTTGTTGGATTTAAAAAAAATTTAATAAAAAAGATTAAAGTTAGAAGTATGAATATGTCTGACAGGCCAAGGATTACAGTGGGTAGATGTGTAATAACATAACATGGTGATTTTGTTTGTAGAATGCTGTCTTGTTTTTTTGTCATGATAGTAAAAAATTATGATTTTGTTGTTTTTGTAGAATGGCTTCACGCCTCTGCACATTGCCTGTAAAAAGAACCACATGCGTGTGATGGACCTCCTGCTCAAACAATCAGCATCATTAGAGGCTGTGACTGAAGTAAGGGATCAGAAAAAATCCATCTAAAACACTCAATGAGTATTAAAGATCGTTTATCAGGCAGGATTCATATGCTTGTTAATCTCATTTTATTGCTCATGTTTCTTCTTTTGTTTTAAAACAGTCAGGCCTTACGCCCTTGCATGTTGCATCCTTTATGGGTCATCTTAATATTGTGAAGATCCTCCTTCAGAAGGGAGCTTCTCCCAGCGTCTCCAATGTGGTGTGTACCAACAAAAAACAACTAACTCTCGTTTTCTGGAACGCTGTTGTTGAAGCTGATGATGTGGTTTGTTTTCGGAAACAGAAAGTAGAGACTCCTCTCCACATGGCATCTCGGGCAGGTCACTTTGAAGTGGCAGAGTTTTTACTGCAGAATTCAGCTCCGGTCGACGCAAAGGCAAAGGTACATTTCAAAATAAAATTAAAACTCTTTTAAAAATGACTTTGAAAGTTGATTTTACTAAAATCAATGCGTTAAAGCAGAAGCAGTCAATAACACCGACTCTATTACAAAATAATGTGTAAAAGCAGAATAAAGGTTTTCAGGAGGTAAACTATTCTCTCCTTTGACAGGATGATCAAACTCCTCTGCACTGTGCTGCTCGGATGGGTCACAAAGAGCTGGTTAAGCTTCTGCTTGACCACAAAGCCAATCCTAACTCTACCACCACAGCTGGACACACGCCTCTGCACATAGCTGCCCGAGAAGGTCACGCACAAACTGTACGCATCCTCCTGGACATGGAGGCTCAACAGACCAAAATGACCAAAGTAAAGAAAATATTCTAATACCGTTTATGTCATAGTTAGTCTCTGCCATTGTGATGAGATGAATCTGATATTATGTCTCTTTTATGATTCTTTTGTAGAAAGGCTTCACTCCACTGCATGTTGCTTCCAAATACGGTAAGGTGGATGTGGCAGAGCTGCTGCTTGAGAGAGGAGCAAACCCTAATGCAGCTGGAAAGGTGAGGGAAACCAAACAAATGTGAAGAAACCTGAATAAAAACTTTTTTGTTAAATCACTGATCTTGTTTTAACAGAATGGTCTGACCCCGCTTCATGTTGCTGTACATCACAACAACCTGGATGTTGTTAACTTGCTTGTCAGCAAAGGAGGCTCACCACACAGTGCTGCCAGGGTAATAAAAACAGATCTTAAGTAAAACTGTTTAATTTTAAGAATCACCACGCTTTCGTTTGTTTTATTGTTATTGTTTAAAAAAAAAATCTGCTTTCTGCCGTCCAGAATGGCTACACTGCCCTCCACATTGCATCCAAGCAGAACCAAGTCGAGGTAGCCAACAGCTTGCTGCAGTATGGAGCTTCAGCCAACGCTGAGTCACTGCAGGGCGTCACGCCTCTCCACCTCGCCTCCCAGGAAGGAAGGCCTGACATGGTTTCTCTACTTATCTCCAAACAGGCCAACGTCAACCTGGGCAACAAGGCAAGAGTAAACCATTATATAGAAAATAAAAAGCTGGGATTTTGAGTCAAATTCGTTTTAGAATACAACTAAGTTGTGATCATTTAATTTGATAGATTAAATGCTGTTCTTCTTCTTTTTTATTATTTTTTTCAGAGTGGATTAACTCCTTTGCACCTGGTGGCACAGGAGGGACATGTAGGCATTGCTGATATTTTAGTGAAGCAAGGAGCGTCGGTGTACGCCGCCACAAGGGTGAGTGGTCAGCAATCCTTGCCCCAATGATAAACAATACTTATCACTCATTCTAAATAAACTGTCCAGAGACACAAATCCTCCATGACAAAGAAAACCTATTTAGTTTCACAAGGACTATAATTAAATGAGTTTGCTTTGTCATATAGTTGAACCAACATTTGATTTCTCGTTTTTTGTTTTCTAGAAAGAGGAGATATTTTGAATTTCTTTCAGTGAAAAAATCTGACTTTTTGTAATATCAAGCAAACTGAGACAACATATAGGGAAATAAACTAGAAAATGAAAAAATAATTAGATAAATAAATAAACCACATCTTTAATTTGCAGTCTAATGACCTAAATGACTATAAAGATTTACTTTTTTCTGCCATTAGTACCATTCTGTTGTAGAAATATAAGCAGATTGCATGAAAACAAGTAAAGGAACATTTCAAATTTGTATTTCCCTTAAGTTCTTTCTTCACCTAAAATTAAGAAAAATAAATAAATTTTCACTGTAATTTGTAATTTTAAGGGTCTAAAGTTCTGTATTGGGCCCTGGATCCACAGGTTGCAAATTCAAGTCTGCTTTAACCTATAAAACATTCATAGTCTGTATTTATATGACAGATGTGTCAGACATGATATTTCATCACTAATACAGATCAGAGTTATTCAAGAAAAGCCATTTAACTGGTCCCTGACTGAGTGATACTTGTTAAATTATTCATAACTCTCAGTAGTTTTAATGGGCACTTTACATTTCATCTGTATTAATATAGTAATGCATTTGTCTCCAATCTGTTCTACTTACTAGTGATGCTTTTTTTCTTGGGACCAACAGATCATTTCAACATGATATCTTTGTGTCAAAACGTATACCTGAGTAATCAAACAGAGCTACAATCTTCACAAAGCTGCTGATTTGCTTCACTTATATTGGCATGGTTTAGTCTGTTTTTATATGACCAGTTCTCAATTTTGCACATTACAGATTTCCCTGCCACATTAGTTGATCAGGTGCTGAGATTTTTTTACAAAAGAAATATGGTGCCTCATTAACCTATAGGACAAGTGTTCCTTCAGCCTTGTCCTACGCCGCCAGCTTTCTGAGGAGTAACAGCATGTTCAGTAGAAAGCTGCCAAACAAATACAGTCTTTCTTTCATAGTACAAATCATTGTCAAAAGGGGAAATATAGAATGCTTAAAAAGATTCAGATTTGTTAGAATACAGTATATGAAGAGCTTTAAGGCCATTGAAAAAGTGACCACTTAATTAAACAAAAATGGCATTTTTTTTAACCTTAATCTCGTAATTCTGACTTTTAATCTCAGAATTACCGCCATTTTTTATCTTGCTAATTCATCACAGACACTGAGAGTCATGTGGCCACAGCTATTAAATTCTGACTTTTTTCTCAAAATAAAAGTCAAATTACTCAAGACTGTATCGCCAGAGCCCAGGATTATCACTTTGATAAAGTAAGAATATTACAAGTAGTCATAATTCTATGACAGTAATCTGTTAGAGACTGATTCCTATCATTTCTAAAACCCTTCATCTGGACCCTGTTTTTGATACTTGATATCAGATTATGTCTCTCCAAATAGTAACAATGCTCAGCTTGCTATGTTTTATTTTACAACCCTTTGGTGCAAATAGATCCCTTCATTTTTTTTAATTCCTAATTGTTGTAAATTTAGAAAGTCCCTTAATTGTGACCCAAAAGTTCAATCCGCTTGCCAATGAAATGGAAACCTGGAAAAATGTAAAATCTGGACAGTCCTTTTGTAACCTTTCAAAATATAATGAAGTAAATAAAGAACTTAATTTACAGTGCAGCATATTTTTGAAATAACTCATTCTTCTCTCAGATAAATATTCAAACTGATCACTATCCTGCAGTGTTTGAAACCTTCTTTTTTTTTTTTATTGACAGATGGGATACACCCCTCTGCATGTAGCATCTCATTATGGCAACATCAAGATGGTGAAGTTCCTCCTACAGCAACAGGCCAATGTTAACAGCAAAACAAGGGTGAGCGCTTACTACGCATTTGTACTAAGTAATTGTATTGCTGTTTTTAATCACATTAAGCATTAAAAATGTATGCATTGACAGATGATCATATTCTAATTGTTTTGAGCCTTTTGTATCCTTGCAGCTTGGTTACACTCCTTTGCACCAGGCAGCGCAGCAAGGACACACAGACATTGTGACATTATTGCTGAAACATGGAGCCCAACCCAACGAGATCACTACTGTGAGTTAAAGTGCAATCTACCTTCATCCTATCAACTGATATACTTTTTCCTCACTATAATCAGTCTGCTGCTGTGTGCCTAACAGCATGGCATGTCAGCGCTGGCCATTGCAAAAAGGTTGGGATACATCTCTGTGATTGACGTCTTGAAGCTCGTCACTGAGGAGACCGTTTCAGTGGTATTACTTTTAGGAGTTTTTCTTTTTGTGCTGCACAAATGTTATGGTTTTGTAATAACAGCTGTACAAGCAATGTAGTTTTAAAGAGTTTTTTTTTATTGCTGTCCTATCTGAATCTGAATCTTTTCTTACTGTTTTCTGCAGACGACTACAGAGAAGCATCGCATGAGTTTTCCAGAAACTGTGGATGAGATATTAGACGTGTCTGAGGATGAAGGTAAAATATTAAAATAATACTTTAAACAGTGGGAATGTAAGGGGTTTGAAATATAGGAATATCATTTATTCAAATATTTTTGCCTTTTTGCTCTTTTTAGGAATTGCGCAGCTAACTTTAGGTATGAACATCTACTTTCTCTTGCAGCATTCAGAGTTTATCGTACAGTAAAGATATCTGTCGCTCCATTTCAAGCTCACGCCATCTTTGTCCCCTTTCCTATTTCTCTCAGACTGTCTGTAGTGGTGCTCACTGTGATAGCTCTGGTTTCTCATTGGCATGCACCCATAGCACCCATGTCTGTGACCTCTGTACGTCCCTTCAGTAACACCCCCATTCTCTAACTCTTCGTGTGTCGTTTTTCTGCATCCATGGTTTCACATTGTTTTTTAAATTGCAATAGGCAACTCACACATACTTGCTCTGTGGTGTTTTACTTTTCATAGTGGATTTGTGTTGCTTTTTCCACGAGACTGCGCATCTTACTATTTTGACTGCATTGCCGTTTTTTTAGGTGAAGCAGTTTTCTGAGTCTAAAAAAGATCCATAATGGTAACACTGCTTTGGATAAAAATTTAAAGAAAAGGCTAATGATTATAATCGACACCCTGGATACCATAATTAACAGAGGGAACAGTTCGGATTCAAACCAAACGACAATATTATTTTTATCAAAATAATTTCTGAGAAGATTTATTCTTTTGCAAAATTTGTGTTGTGACAAGACTAGTGACACATACTGTAGCTGCTTTGAGTTAAAGTGGTAAACCACTAAAGGATAACAGCTCAGCCAAACTTCCAACACATACAAACACACACACACACAATTATGCTCACACTCATGTTTAAGTACTCTTACCGACCAATGCGTCTTCAGATTATAGATAATATATACTGGAGTGGCCCTTCCAGAGTCTAGACTTGAATCAGATAGAAAGAATAAAAATCTGTAAAAGTAGCTAGAAATGATATTATATGAGAAATAGATCTTCCTACTTTACAGTTTGCATCTCAAAAGCAATTGTAAACTGTCAACATATCAAAGGAAATGCACAAAAAAGTCGGTGTTGAATCTGAGCTGCTCCCTTACGGCAGCACAGATTTACATTAAGTTAATCTACTTTACTCTTCACTCACCTCTGTATGCTTAATGTACAGAATGGCTCTTAGTGATAGCAGACTGACCTAACTTCTGATTTATTCAGCTAATGGATTTTTAAACACTTGGGAGCACTGACTGATCATTGAGCATATCCGCCACAATACAAACAACCAAAATGGAAACTTCAGGATGCAGGACTACACTGAACAGTTAAGCAGTACACCATTTATTTCAACATACACACATTGTAAGAAGGGGCACCTAAACCCATACCTAACAAGGATATTTGGGAGGACTTATTTGGCTATATGAAAACAGAAAAAAATAATTGCCGAGCCATGAAATGATGTGTCAGCAGCTTAATGCCATTAGTGGAAACCAAGATTTTTAAATCAACAAACAAGCGTAAAGCTCTAAATATAGTTTTGCTATAAGTTCAAAAAAAAAATTGGAAACATTTTTAAATCACGTTCCATGCAATGTTGTGGAGCACAGCTTACTGGAAGGAAATGTTCGAAGATGGCAAAAATCAAAGACCAACAACATGAAGGAAGATGGATGCCATTATGAAAGATTTTACACTATTTGAAAACAGCCTAAATGAACACCCTGATATGATACCTTAAATGGGATTGAGGCCTTCCTTGTTTGAATATTGACTGTTTTGAAATAAACAGTGAAGAGACCAAAGTTGTGGGGTTGTTTACTAAATATGATCAGGTGTGAAGAAAAAGATCCTTAATATGTGTTTTTTTTTTTTTTTTATATATATATATATATTTTTATGAGATCAACATGTATATCACTAGTGGTGGGATTACAGTCCATCTATTTATTCTGCTACCCTGTAATGGCTAGAAAATATGCATGGTTTTATTTTTGGTTTGCAGCAGTGTTCTTGGAAATGTAACTAATATTAATCTTGATATTTTTAGTCCCCTCATTGTTCAACATCCAGATTGTTTGGGGGCTCTAAATAGATTAACAGCTTTTTTGTTGTCTTAAAGACGCAAATTCAGAAAAAAACAATGATATGAGCAGATGATGTACCCTTTTGAGGTATATGATCAAACTTTAACAAGGAATATGGGGGACCTGGTCAGACACATGAATTTATTAACACTAGCCACTGTGAAAAAACGCTGGTTCTGAACCTTGTGAATACATCCACATTAATATGCATAAGACAAAGGGCATTTCTTGTACGCAAGTTTTTGCTGGCAACTTTCTCTTTTTTTAAAACTCTTCTTTTAGGATTAAGTAAACCTCCAAATAACAAGATATAGATATTTTAGATATACTAGGTATTCAAGGGGGAGGTTGATGCTGTTTGTGCAGTGGCTTACTTCATGTTTTCACACAAGAATTGCTTTGCATATCACAAATCTTAAAGCAATATTTAAGCTGATTTTATTCTTATCACATAGATTTTTGCTTTAAAGATGTCAGCAAGTTGAGAACAAAACCCTAACACTAATTTCTGAAGTTTACATCCTCATTTATTTGTTCAGTGTTTTAATTGTTCCCTGTGGGAGCATTGATATGAAAAAAATGTAAAAAAAACAAAAAAAAACATGAATGTTTCATGTCATCTGTCTAACCACCAAATATCACGTCCATCATTTTGGGTGTCATGTTGTTTAACCTTTCTAACAGCTAGTTAACAGCCTTGTTTTCTTTCTCTCTTTCTCCTGTGCTGTGTCACCAACCTGACCACGATCTGTTCGCTCTCTTTGGCATGTTGTTCTCTGAAGGAGAGGAGCTCTTGGGGACAGAAGGGGCCAGGTACATGAAGATGGATGACATGAAAGACCATGATGACGATTTCCTCTCCCCCAAGAAATCACTGGAGTACGAGAGAGGGCTGGGCACAGCGTAAGGGGGGCTGAGTGGGGAGTAGGGTAGAGAGCCAAAGCCAGTAGTTATGAGCCATTAGAAGGATGGGATTAAGGGGGGTGCTCCATAAACATAATTAAACCCCAGGACGATTGCTTGGGAGGAGCAGAGATTTGATGAAATGTTTTAAGTCTCACTTATTTTCTTTTTTCTTTTCCTTACAACAGAAATTACTCACCTGCCATTCCCAGGATCCCTCGTGTCTCCCCAGAGACTGTACATCTGAGAGAACACGAGATAGAGCAGGTACAGTAAAATACAGAACCACAGAAATCCAACACTCAGATAATATTACGTCGGAGTTTTCATTCTTTTACATCTTGTGGTCTGAAACGCTTGCAGCTGTTTTACCCACTGTTTATTTTATTTCTGTACCAGATTCACAAAGATTCATGCATAATGTCAATGCTAGTATGCCTATCAAGTCCACCAGATGGAAGCAATGTGCACCTATGTATGCATCTGGCTGCAGCTGTGCTCTCTTTAACCATAAAAACAGCCTATTCTGAAGAGGGACAGATAAGAATACTTTTTAAATAATATTTAACTCCCATTTCTTACCTGACAAAGAAGTTACAAAAGTTGCAACAGTATTATATTATTATGTAGGGATGATACAGTTAAATAATCATTATTTTCAGGCATAATCTAAAGGATAATGTTCTAGGTAATATCTCTAAACAGACCCTTATAAATGCGTAAACAGGGGAATTTCTGTAAGGATGGAAGGAGATGGAAGGAGTAATCCTGGAAAAACACCTGTAAAAGGCAAGGACCACAGACAATGACCCTTAACATACAGTCAGGACCTAGAATGAAAAGGTTAAGATTTACCAAGGCCTTTATATCAATTCCAGTAGATAATCTGTGCCAGGACTGGAATGTACATCAGACCAACTTAGCATAATCTTAAGTAATAATGTGAGCTTAATTACAGGTATTTTCAAATATGTGATTTAAGGGTATTTTTGTTCCAAAGGTACTTTTAATCTAATGAACAAGCCTTGTTTAAACCTACAGCGTATTGTCATTTATTGCTGACTTCAAGTCGTCAACTTCCAAAGTTAAACCAGAGCCCTAAAATTGAGGACAGAGTTATTAACTTAAGTTAATTTGGTCATCTTTTTCTGTTAGGAACGATGTAGAATAGCTACCTGGTTGGTTTTATATGACATTAAAGGTATTTTGGAGGATTTTCGTGCATTTTTTAAAAGACCTTCCCTTTCCACAAAAAGAAAATGTGCAAGATGTCCGAGAGCATGCACAAGCCCATTTCACCTTATGCACGCTCTGTTTAAAAGTTGCTGTTCTCATAGCTCATACAAGCTTACTGTGTCCAAACGTCCGCCCAAACCCGTAAATCCCTTGACCACTATGTACAGCGTGGACTAAATAGTGGAATTTATAGCAAACTACTGACCGTTCGGATAGATGATCACGGTTTTTTGCTCCATTGGTCACGTAACTCCTCCTCCACTGCAGGGTGCCTGCACTATCTTAGTTGTTGGTCGCCACTGTTGGATAGCCTATGGCAACAGCGGGCCGTTGTGACAGCAAATCCCATAATGCTTTGCTCTCTGCACTAAGCATTCCAGGATATATCTGCCTCTTCTTAGACCTTTTTTTTTCTTCTCATACACTTCCCTTCTCCATTTTCAATGACTGTCTGAAACCGTAGCTCACCACACATACATCTGAAAATGCACAGAAAAAGATATGGGACAAACACATAGGATGACCTTACATAAACATATCAGTTTATCAGAATGATTGACAATTTGGAGGACCACTTATTCAGATGATCCACCTGTAAATAAAAGATTGCTTATATACCTTTAAGTTGAACAGAAATTCATTAATGATCCATGTTTGCTCTCATGCAGCAACACACGCCGCTTCCACTACCCAAAGAGTACGACGACGATTCACTGATTCCCAGCAGTCCAGCAACTGAGACGTCTGACAATGTCAGCCCAGTCGCCAGTCCCATCCACACAGGGTCAGGACAGCCAAAGCACAAGCAAGCACTTTTATTCTTTATTTTTTGTTGTTGTGGTTTTGGGTTTTCTCATTACTTTTCCCACGAACAGGTTTCTGGTCAGTTTTATGGTGGATGCTCGAGGCGGTTCAATGCGAGGCAGCAGGCATAATGGTCTGCGTGTCATCATACCTCCACGGACGTGTGCGGCACCCACTCGCATTACCTGCCGCCTGGTGAAGCCGCAGAAGCTGACCAGCCCCCCACCTCTGGTGGAGGGAGAGGGGCTGGCCAGCAGGATCATTTCTCTAGGTCCAGCGGGGATGCAGTTTCTGGGGTGAGCAAAGCACAGCAAAGCAAAGTCTCCTAAAAGTGGACGACCCTTCCCCAAACAATCTGTTCAATTTATTGTTGAATATCTAAATGTATTATTTGTAAATGGATCAGTCACCCCAATTGTCCTCAATAAGAAGCCCTCCTATTTTATTTGATCTTTGCATATTTGGATCCTGATTTTTTTTTTTTTTTTTTTTTATTTACCCTGCGTTTATGGCAGACCGGTGATTGTGGAGATCCCCCACTTTGCTGCTCTGGGTCGGGGAGACAGAGAGCTTGTTGTGCTCAGAAGTGAGAACGGATCTGTCTGGAAGGAGCACCGCAACCGGTATGGTGATGAGGTTCTGGAAACAATCCTGAATGGAATGGACGAGGGTGAGTTCAACATTCATTTTAAACGAAAGCCATGTACTGTTCCCATTGAAACATTTACTAAAAAATATAACTTTGCCTCTCATCACAGAACTGGAAAGTCAAGAGGAACTTAGCAAGAAGCGAATCCGTCGCATCATTTCTACTGACTTCCCCCTTTACTTTGCGGTTGTGTCGAGAGTCCAACAAGAGAGTGACCTGATTGGTCCAGAGGGAGGTTCGCTTACCAGTAAACTGGTCCCAATGGTGCAGGCCACGTTTCCTGAGACGGCAGTTACCAAAAGAGTCCGTCTCGGGCTGCAGGTGAGATGGGACGATGAGGAAGAAGTAGAGGAGAGGAGAGACAAAATTGCTAATGCTTGAAATAAAGCATGTTACATTTACTTTGGTTCACCACAAATTCATGTCATGTGCCAAGCTTGTTCTGTTGTTTTTAGTCATGTTGGAGGACCTTTTTGCCTTTTATTGTTCATTTTGCATGCACCTGTCACCTTTATCAGCCTTTTGAAAAAAAAATTATTTCCCGTTCTCCTTAAGTATTTATGTCCTTGACAAAGCCTGTACATTGAATATTTAACACATTTATTTGAGATGCCTAAGAATTTGTATCTGTTTGCTTTTTTTTTTTACTTGAAAGGCTGTGTTTTTGTGTATTTTTTCAGTTTTAACTGTGCTTGAAAGTTTTATTTCAAAAGAAAAGAAATGTTTTGCTGCACAAAAAGGTTTTCAACCTGTGGACCACTCATCCAGCTCAACAACTGACAGTTTATAGGAAAAGCACTATCCAACTAGTGATAAACTCCAACTTCTTGCTTTATATAAACCTTAACTTTCTTTGCCCTCACTGTTTGTCAGTTCAGAATTTTATTTCTAAAAAAATTGATTGAAAGGAGTGATGTAAGTGTTAGATTACATTTAAACTTTGAAATCATATCTAGTTAAAGGATATAGCTATAAATCTCTTAAACAATAGAAAAAAGTCCCTTAATTGTCCCACACTGGAGAAATTGTGGTAAAACTATTTTGACATAGTGCCATTTTTTTAATGTTATAATTATTGGCTCAATACTTGTTTTGCTCTTTTAGGGTTAAGTTTCGTTTAAATTCCATTCTTAGGTTTACAACGAAGAACCATAATAATAAGTAGCTGGTATTATTAGGTAAATTATACCCCTGATGAACAACAGGACATATAATAATACACTGGTATAATTTATCTAAGTCAAGATTTGGACACAATAAATCAATAATTTAGTAGGATTTAACAACACATTTAGCTGAATAATACTTAAAATAAAAGTTTTCTACTATTGATCTCTGATATCATTGTTGCAGTATTCTGATATCTTTACATAACTGGTTCATGTGATTATCTAAAGGTACTAATGCATACTCTGCCTCAGGTTGGGGTATGAACATTGAACTGTGCAGCATTTCTCTTCTTTTTCAGTCATTTCCTTTTAGATTTGCAGTCATCTGGCTTTTTTTCATTTTGCATGTTTTTTTTTGTTTTGTTTTTTTTTTTAAACCAAGCGTATGCTCTCTTGAAATTTTGGAATATAAAGGAGTTCTTATTTTTGACCAAAACTCTGGATTGTGCACAACATTGTGCCTCCAAAATAATCAACCTCAACTTAAGTGGTTGACAGTTACTTACAGCAATTATTTACAATGTACTGTCTGGTTTTCGACAAATATACTTTTGATTTGTCCTTTAAATAATTTGTTTTTTCTAAAGATTCAGTTAAGTACTGTGATCCTCCAAGAACTTTATCTTTTAACACCTAAATCAAGTTTTGAAAACCCTCAAGTACAACTTCATTTATCTTATTGTACAAAAAAAGTGCTAAACAAATGTCCACTTTAATGGAGAAAGTCAATAGAAATTATCTCTGCTGTGAGTCTCTCATTTTGGGGGCTCAGACGTTTTTAAAGTTGTCCGTAAAACCTTATTCAAATTCACACTAATTGTGAAATGTACGTCTTCGACAGTAAAGGGATGTTTTCATTCATCTGAATTACTTTGAAAGCATGATTATTCCTTTATTCACATGCTCCAAATAACTAAAGTAGATTGATTCATAAGGTGCCTTTCTATTTAAGCATTTTGAATGTACTGTTAAGGACCACACAATTTGTGTTTTTGAATTGATTTCTGAAGCCACAAATATCTGACCTGTGTCCTTTTGGTCATTATACCATCTTTCCTATGTAGCAAATTTATTTTTGTATGGTTACCAAATTGGTTTAAAGTAGTTTAGTTAGAAGTTAATTCCACATTTATAATATTTTCATCTTTTAAGAGAAACTTAAAATATCAAAACAGGTAATGACATGTTAGATTAACTGTTAACTGTATGTTTAGGATCCTCGGATTTCAAAAGCACATATAGTTTAACCTATGTAAAGACCAAGATGCCTTACAGATATTTTTGCCATCATGCTGTAACCTGTGATACTGAATGTAGAAGGAGACGGAAAAAGAGATTGTTTTATGATTCACTTTTTTTCATTAAAAGAAAGAATTCCTTTATGATGTTAAGAAATCCATTTATCTATAGCTATAGCTATAATGTTATTGTAGAGAAAATCAATAGGTCTAAGAAACCAAGTTGCCTTATTTGTTGATATCCCTTTTTGTATTAATGATTGTAAGACCTTGTTAACACCCATTCTTATAATAAAAATTGTTTTATATGCATAGAACCAGTTTGTGTCACTTTTTTCTCAACAAAATCAGAAGGTTTTAATTGGTGTTCTTCTCTCTTTTTTCTTTATCTTTAATTACCCCCTATTTTTTTCATCCTTCCATAAATCTCTACTCTGATCTCTGGAATTTCATTTATTTTATACAACCATTATTTTCTCCCACATTTTCCAACCTGTACCCCTTTTGCGTTTTCCTCCCCCCATTGCTTACCACCTCAGGCCCAGCCAGTTCCAGATGAGCTGGTTGCAAAGCTGCTGGGTAACCAAGCAAACTTTAGCCCTGTAGTCACCGTGGAGCCTCGGCGGCGCAAATTCCACCGCCCCATCGGCCTGCGCATACCCCTGCCTCCATCCTGGAGGGAGAGTCCACGAGACTCGGGGGAGGGTGACACCACCAGTCTGCGTCTTCTCTGCTCTGTTATAGGTACTGCATGAACCAACTATTAATAAAAAAAAAATATGTTGGTCATCATTTGATTCTCCCCTGCTACCTTGATTCCTGGGTTTCCTCTTTCCCACGCTGTGTAACTGACAGGTGGTACTGCCCCAGCCCAATGGGAAGACATTACTGGCACTACCAAGCTCCTCTATGCCAATGACTGTGCCAGCTTTACCACCAATGTTTCTGCACGGTCAGTTCAACAGGTTTCATTTACACTTTATCAATTAAAACAGCTTTTTTTATGCCTTAAAGCTCCTTTTTCATGTGCCAAAGAAAGTTAGAATCTGTGTCCAGCATTGTCATCCCTGGTGATTGTTTGCTGATAGATTCTGGCTAGCTGACTGTCCTCGGACAGCTGAGGCCGTCTCCTTTGCCAGCCTGCTCTACAAAGAGCTATCAGCTGTACCCTACATGGCCAAGTTTGTGGTGTTCGCAAAGATGAATGAGCTGCGTGAGGGACGTCTGCGCTGCTACTGCATGACAGACGATAAGATGGATAAAACTCTGGAACAGCATGAAAACTTCACAGAAGTGGCTCGCAGCCGAGACATAGAGGTCAGTTGAGTAACAGGCAGCCTGAGACAAACACCTAAGAGTTTTTTTTTCCTGCCTGAGGACACTGATAAAACATGATTAATCATAATGAATTGTGTCTTGCAGGTGATGGAGGGAATGCCGCTTAATCTGGAGTGTTCAGGGAACCTAGTGCCAGTGAGGAAGGCCACACAGCAGCCTCGTTGCTTTAGTTTCCAGGCTTTTAGGGACAACAGGCTTCCAGTCTCCATTAAGGTTTTTTACCTTATTTTCTGCAATTTGACATTGCTAATACAGACTCACGTGCACTCATTATAGCCTGATTATTATATCAAATAGAGACTTTTGAAGATGCATTTGAAATGGGGTTTTTTTGTCCAGGATTTACTGAAAGATCCAATGTATGACTTTATAAATTTAAAGCACAACTTTGATTTTACTCTGTATTTCCTCTATTCCATATTGGTTTGAAGTTATGCTCTGCATTTGAAAAGTATTCTTTAAATTTGCTCACATCTAGTCACATTTTAATCACCAACGTCCATTTTGTTTACTGGAATATTAATTGACAAATAATCCAAAGACAGTGCTACAGTAAGGAGAAAGCAAAAAGTTTTGCTTTTTTTCCAAATAAGTCAAAAAATGCAATATGCATAGTATTCACCCCCTTAACTATGAAATTCCCTAGCTGTGTGTAACTTAATTTAAGTATAAATCAACCTGTAAAACATCAGAGTATTGTCATTGCACATCATGCACTGACAGCATAATGAAAACCAAGAACTACATAGAGCACAGTGATCAAGTTTTAGAGAACGTCAAAGCAGGTTTGGGTTGACAGAAAATAACAAAAAAATAACAAAACATGAATTTCCATCTTAAATGAAGAGCCAAGAGGTGCATGGTAACTCTGGAGAAACCGCAACTGGGGAGCAATTGGTTCCATGTTTTATGTAAAAATTGGATTTGCAGAATAATTTATTCTGCTTGAGTTCTCATTTTATATTTTTTTTTATTTGTATTATTTTTTTTGTCTTAAAAATACCCAAATCTGATAAAACCTACTTATCTGGCAGATCATATTTTGGTCTATCTAATCATTTTATATAGTAAATCAGATGCAAGTTATTCAGTTACTTGAGTGTTTTTTTTTACTAAATATTTGTTTACTTTTTTTGTCTGAGCATTTTTTTACTGTTTATATTATTTTAATGTAAATTATATTAATGTAGAGCTACGCTAGAAGTATACACTCAAAAGACCTGCTGTAATCTTAGCAAAGGTAGTTCTACTTAGTATAGATTTAGACGGGCTGTACATATGTACAAGCACACAAACTATACATTTCCTTCCTCTCCTCCAGAGTTATTAACTCCTTGCTGCCATATACAGTTTAGGTAAAGTACAGGTTTGTGTTTATAATGTGGTTATAATGTTACAAAATGAATACAGTTTAAGGGGTATTAATACTCTTGCGAGGAGATCACTATTCAAGCTCACATAAAATAAACAGCTCATTAATATCTCTCTATCTTTGCAGGTGAGAGACAGCAGTAAGGAACCTGCTGGATTTTTATCCTTCCTACGCAAGTCTACCAAATACGAAGACAACCAACAAGTGCTCTGCAACCTTAATATCACAATGCCTCCATGTATCAAGGTAAACCTTTTTTTGGTTGTGGATGAAAAGACAAAATCTTAATTTTATCCCAAAATTAGAGATAAAACTCCCAGATTTAGTTTTGAAATTATTTTTGAGAAAATGTACATGGAATGTTCTGGAATCTATTTATCTATTTTCTTATTTATATACAATGGCATGTTAAACGAAATACCTTTCTTGATATGACAAGGAAATGTTTTTCTTTTAATATTAAAAGACGGTTTTCATATCAGTAATGAACCCCATTTTATAACCCTGACCAGCTTTCTGCATGTTTCCACTGGTTTGTTGATCAGTCATATTTGGTGATGAGATTTGAACTTTTGAGATTAAAGTTGTTGTTTTTTTTTTTTACATCACCCTAATTTCTGTCTCCCTGCACAGATTCTCTATTAGATTTAAGACGTGGTTCTGAGGAAACTCTAATCTTCTTTAGTCATTAGCAAGATGTTGTTAAAACTTAAAAAAAATGTTTTAAATCTAAATCTGGAAGGGGTGAATTGTTTTGAGCTTATTTATATTTAATGACAAATTATTATTTTTAGAGTTTGACTTAAAATTGTCTTTTTTTTAAAACTAGATTATTGGTAGTGAAGATAGGAGGCGAACTCTGACTCCACTGGCTTTAAGAGAAAGATACAGTGCCCTTAACGAGCCTGCCATGGGTAAGAGACTCTCATTTTAGCATCACTTAATATGTACCATAGTTATATTTTAAAAAAGGCTCAGTGGAGTTGTTTTATAATTTAATTTTAGAGATTTACCAAACAGCTCTTGGCTGTATTTAATACAGTGAGATGTAAAGCTTTCTGTCTGGTCCTGTTTCTGCAGCATCGATGAGTGCAATGGAAAGGACAGAGCTGAAGATGGCTGTGATTGCAGAGCAGTTGGGACTGAGCTGGGCTGGTAAGTAAATATTGAAAATATGTTAAAGCTGTTTTTATGCTCACCATCTGTGTTTATCTAATGTCTAAAAAGGGTGTGTACAATGCTTCCAACATTATGTAATCTAATCATGTGCTGTTTTCCTGTCTGTATACATATTTGTTATACAGAGAAATCTTTCTTTCTCTCTAGGGCCTTCTGAATAAGTGTGACACATTTCAAACTGCAGGGGTTTAGGCCTGAAAACACATTTTTCAAAAATCATTAATGATGTTTTTTTGTTTACTGACCAGAATTGGCGCGTGAGCTGCAGCTCAGTGTCGACGACATCAACAGGATTCGTGTTGAGAATCCAAACTCCCTTCTTGAACAGAGCTCTGCGCTGCTCAACTTGTGGGCAACTCGTGAAGGAAAAAGAGCTAAAAGTGAGTGAATGCGATTTAAGTTTAGCGTTTACTTTTCCCTTGCTTTCATTCATTATCTTCCAGTCAGCATGTCACCAGTTTTGGAAAACTTATAATTTAAAGCAAAAAAATCTGACATGAAATAGCTGCCAATATGTGATCATTTTAGCAGCTTTGAATTAATTATGAATTAGTTATACCACAGAAATCAGGTTGGCAGTAACTGTGTGGCATATGTAGGTCATATGATCTATGTAATTCAAAGCATTTTCAGAAAAAGCTGAGCAACAGTCTGGTTTCCTCAGATTTAAGGCTGTTTTGTGGTTGCCATGACCCAGATGATATCTCTAAGCCTTGTTTCTTCCATCCAAGCCTTTCCATAAATGATCAATGAATGTCAGTAAGAAGGTACATCTGCACAGGCTTGGAATAAATTATAAACACCATTAGCAGAAATATTGGGGGAGAGATAATTTAGAAATGAATGAAATACAAAATGATTACAGTATACTCTCTGTCTGGAGCTCTATGTGAGATTATGTCTCAAGGATGGACAGATCAAGAGAAACCTGAGGAATCAGCACACAACTACATAGTGTGAGCTTCTTGATCACAACAACAGTAGTAGTATTAATCTTGGACCTCATCATTATCTCATCGTAAACAATTAAGATCCTTCGATGACGGGACTCCCAGTGTGTCAATGACTTATTTTTTGAATTATTTTATAACTATAAGTCAACAAAGGAGTGGCTAATGAGGAATCCAATTAAGGATAAGCAGTGACCTGCCCTCTCATTTCAGCTTGCCATGCATTCCTGATTGAGTTTTATGTTTTCCATTCAGTGGAGAGCTTGTACACAGCCCTAAAGAACATCGATCGTATGGACATCATCAACATGTTGGAGGGCCAACCACACCAGCCTATAAGACAAGGTTCCCATGATCTCAACAGACGGAGACACAACGAAAGAGACCACCTCTCCCCTGGTATCACCAATGGTAAGGACTCTACTTGCATTCAACAGTGCGGCCCATTCCCACTGTGCCTTATGCCCTGATCCAGAGCTGCTCCTGTAAGTATATACAGTGGTGCGGGAAGTTTGTGAACATTTTTGACTCTTTTCTGACAGAATAATCATCCAAATTATCTGATTTAAGTCCTAAGAGGTAATAGAGATTACACTAAATATTAAAACTACGGTAATCACCTATCTAGTGAGGAAATGGTTAGCTTTTTTTTTATTTCAGAGGGACAATAGAAAAGATTTGCTTTAGTTGGATTAAACTCCAGTTCCCCCCCTAACCCCCAAACAAAGAAAAACGTATTCAGGAATAATAGGCAGAAACTATCTATTCACCTTGATGATATTTTTTTAAATAATTTACAAACTTTTAGCACTGCTGTACTTCCTCTTTTCCCCTAAAATCTCCTGATGTCGAAGATCTATGCGGTCCCCTGTGAATCTTCTCTGTTCTTCTTACTGTATGTCTCCTTATTTCCAACCATGGGGATACTACCACAAGCGGTAACATTTCTCAGGATTTTACCTCAGCTACATGCAGTGGAACTCAGGACACTCCTACAACTCTCTGAACCTGGTTATCGATTCTAAGCTCTATGAACCAATGCTATAACTTTTTTTTGTCTAAGAGATATGCAGTTATTTACAGTAAAAAATAAAAGAGTGTAGAATCCAAATCTTTTGAACTTGTGTCATAAACCAATCTTCCCACATCCAAAGATCTCCTGCTTTCTTGAGCAGGAAGTCTTTAACCATCTTTCTTAAAGCATTAGTTTAATCTATTCCGATTGTTGTGTTTTTTTACTAATATTTCGAGTGGATAAAGTTAAATAAATTATAAACGTAATTTATTTAATGACTTTAAAAGATGAAACTACACAATACACAATAAAGGGATATGAAATATCTTTGATATGCTATGCAACGTTTAGCTTGTGATTTAAAGGTTTTTAATCCAATTTAAATTTTATGTAAACTAAATATTATCAATTATAAATCATAAAACTACCTAAAACCTCAACTGGCACTTGTTGGCCCTTCAGGGTTTTTTTTTTTACCATTTTCACCTCATGGCTGACTAATGCTCCTGTGTCTTAGACTGCCTGCTGTTCTCTCTGTATCCAGTGCAAACAATGACGTAGCCAGCCCTCCATGAAGAAAACTGAGCAATATACTCACCAATATGATCATGATAGTGAAAGAGAAAAAAAAAAGGAATCAGATCATATCTGCCATTGATCTACACAGCGTAGCAGGCTGTTCCTGCTTTAAATACGTGAATGCTGTGTCATCCACCCGTAATTTTAAGAGGATTAGATGTCATAGAATAAAAAGCAAACAAACAAAACTATCACAGAAAATTTGCTTTTTTTATTAAAAGCTTCTTTTTTTCAGCAGTTCTTAAAGGTTAGGTAAATAAAGTGAGACTCCTTTTATTATGTGCTGATGAGTTAGTTTCACATAAAGACAGGAGAAAGTTGAAGAAAGCTTTATTGTATCTGTTGTGATCTTAAGCTCATCCAATTTGTGGCAAAGTAAATAAAATAGCTCGTTATGATATTCATAAACTTATTAACCTGTCTGTATTTTGCCACATTAGACCTAAAAGCATTACTGTATTTCGATGGGATGTTATAAAGGAGACCAACACAAAATAGTTTAGGGTCTCTTAACCCTGGCCCTCAGGGCCCACTGTCCTTTTTAGATGTGACGTTACTTAAGCACACCTAAGTCAACTGAGCACATTATCTCCTCTGCAACCATCTGATGCTGCAAAAAAAAAAAAATGTCAATCACCTTTTCATTCAGGTGAGCTGTGTGGAGGAAGGCAAACGCCTAAAACACGTAGGACAGAGGGCCCTGAGGACCAGGGTTAAGTAACTCTGTAGCAGCTGCTGGCAATAAAATGAAAATATTGACCTAACCAGAAATCTGAAAACTGTATCTGCCCTTTCACCACCGCTTTGACAACTTTGATGAACCCCCACTTACTGCAACTAAAGACGAAAGTCTGTTACAGTACGTCTTTAATGGTTATGCTCCCCTAGAGAATAAATGTTTGATCCAGTCTTCTTTGCAGCATTGTTCAAGCTACTCATTAGAGAGAGAGAGGGTCTGTGACTAACAACTTTTGACTCTTGTCTCATATTTTCTAATTAATATAGGTGTAAACATGGTTTGGCAGCTCTTACCCATGAACTTTCTTTTATCTAAAACATGCCATTTTAAATCTGGCTGTTATCCTGTTGACAGGTGAACATCTGCCTTAGTAGCTATTTATTTAGCTCCATCCACCTTCCCATCACAAACTCACCCAGCCGCCGCATCCTGCAACGGGAAAGCATCCCTACAGCATAAAGCACTTACTGTATTTCTGTGTTAGTTTTGTTGAAAGATCTTCCTTAACTTTTTAGATAAGGCACTAAATAGAGCTATGCCAGATTTACAAAGCTTGGCATATTATGTTATAACCTAAATCTGTTTTAACAGATTTCTCTCTGACCTGTATGCTGCGTTCCCTGATCTACATCTTGATGTTTGTTAAAGGACTCATGTTCTATAAACAACTCTGAGGCCTTTAAAAACATCTGGATTTAAAGTGATATTAAACTACACAAGTGGAAGCAGCTGTTTAATAGGGGGACTTTCATCAGCAGTTGATTGTGTTGGATTTTATTTAGGGGCATCATAGTAAAGTAAAGGAGGCTAAATATAAAGGTACTGATAGAATGGGATTGGTGTTTTCTTTCACTTCACAATAAAAACTTTGTTCATTTGGTCTATGATATAAAGTCCCACTCAAAAACAGTTAGCTTCTGGTTATAATGTGACAAAATATAGAAAAGTTTGAGGATTAAAATACAATTAAGACACTTTATGAAACACACTGGCTGCTCCATATTTACTCTAGCATTCTAAAAAATGTGTCAGTAATCTTAGCTCTATATCTATAAATGTCAAATAGCTAAAAATTAGGGTCAATCTTACTTATTAAAAGAACCATCATATAAATAGATTTAAGTATAAAAGAGATTGGAGGTGTTTTCCACCTCAGCGATATTTCGTGTGGGCTTTTTTCAGACAGGACCTCTTAATTCTTTCTGCCTGTGGTTGCATGTTCAGTAGTTTGAGTCTGTTGAGGGTTAATGTTGGTGCACTGAATGTCTTTTTGGGAGCCATGTTTTCATCCCCTGTGAATCTTGTCCTTTCTGTGTTTCTCTGGACATGTCATCTGCAGCCTAGCCACCCTACTCTTCCTCCTCCTCACTTCTCTCCAAACTCTGACCTCATGCCGACCTCATGTTGACCTCTGACCCACATCTTAAGCTTTTTTTTCTCTTCTTTTGCTAGTGGTGCATTTATTTTTATTTCATTTTTACCTCTTGAAAGCCCCACCTTTGTAAGTCTCCCCTCTGTGAAAAATATCCCTCACACAGAGACTGTGTTTTTCCGGCACCCACTGGGAGGGGGAGGTGATCCTCTTTCTTTCTCTCTTCTTCTCTTTGTCACACTTTTCTGTGTTCATCACTCTTGTTTATATTCCTCTTTCTCTCTTGCTCCCTTTCTCTTTTTTCCCCACTCTGTCCCTCCCCATATTTTCCCTTTCCCTTTTTTTCCCCTACCCTCCTGCGTGACTGCATGTGCACCAGACGTTCATTGCTCATCCTCTTTTGCATTTGCATGGATGCACTGGGAGGATGGGCAGCACAACCACTAACTTGTCTAAGATCACAGCATTGAAGCAGCTCAACCAAAAGACGAGTCTATGCATGGCATGTAAATACTGAGAATGACTGCTGCCTGTCTTGATCCTCCTAAATGATTTTTCTTAAGGGGGTGTGGTTAAAAAAAGGATGCAATCCTGTTTTTGTGAACTATGTCTGTTTTGTTCTTGTATGAATGATATTAACGCTTTCTATGTCTTCAGTCCTCTGTAAATTTTTTTGTCAGATAGTACCTTCTCAAACTGTATATATGTTCTTTTTTTTTTTTTTTTTGTTAAATGTGAAAAAATCTAATTGTCTGGACGGGTGTATCTGTGTGAACCTTTTTTGTGTTTTAATTTGAAAAATTACTGCTGTTGTGTATTTTGTGAACAGGCAAAAAGAGTCAGCTTCCTTTACATGTTGTTTTTCAGTTGAACTTCACTTTTAATTGCCTACTTTTACACTTCAGTAAGGAAATCAGTTAATACTTTTCTGTTTCCAGACGTCCTATTTGTTCTATTTTCTTGTCTATAGCAATCCAAGCTATTTTGGTACAGAAAAGTCTGAACACATCTGGGCCTCATTTCAGAAAGTGTGTTAATTGAGAACTTGGAATAGCGGTTAGCTTTTATACGGACAGAAAGTTACTCCATGAAACAACTCTGGTCAGGTGCAGGATTTCCTAAAGTTATCCTCCAGGTATCCTTCAAAAGCCAGGACTTAGAATTCCTTTACTACAGGAGCATGTAGCTGCAGCAAATGCTCACTATGCTTCCTGCTATTACATGCATGTAATTTGGATTCATAGGTATTTGGACATAAATTTTGTTTTTTGCGAGAGTCAATTATTAATCTTGATAAAATATTCAGCACCATATCGATCATATGAGACAATGAGCTGAAATTCGTTTCTTTTTTTTTTGCTGAAAGCAAAATATCAGCGATAGTGTTGAAGTGTTACATACAGCTCAGATGCCCATGACATTAATCACAATTTCTCCAAGGTGTCATCCTTTTTCTTTATTAGTGAGGTGGAATCCTTTCTTACCCTGTGGGACATTCGAGTTTGAATCCAGAAGGCAGTTAAAGCACCAATTAAGTCTTTTTTCTCTTTAACCATTGAATATTTTAGGTTTTGTTTAACTTAAACCTGAGCTTTAGAGACAGAAAGAAACAAAAAGGAAGAAAAAAGAAAGAAAGAAACCAATTAAGAATGTACATTGACTTATAATTCAGTTTAGTTACTGCATTTATGCCTAACCCTGACATT